GCACCAAATAAACAGGAGGTCTTCATGTATGATGGAGGCCTTCATTACAATAATGGACGTCGAGGTCAAGACGAGCACTTCAGAGGACGGGTCTCACATTTCCCACAAGAGCTGCAGTTTGGTAACGCCTCCATCATCATCAGAAACACCACGGTGGCTGACAGTGGAGTCTACACCTGTGATTTTCCACATCTGCAGCCAGAACAAAGGTTCTGCATGAAACTTGTTGTTGGTGAGTAGAAAGCATCGTGAAAATAAACCCTTTAATAACTCTGCTGGAAGCTGTCACCTCATCAGTTTGTTACCTGAACCAAGAGATGCTCACAAAGGTGATGCAGAAACATCAGCTCCATCATGAGTTCACGATGCTGTGTGAAAAAACACATGTTTAATTTTTGCCTTTCAGAACTCACCTTGAAAGATCGATCAGGAGAAATCCCAGGTGAGTGATGATGTCACTGATGTGTGCATCTGTAACCTGTTATAAAGTTACGTTGAAACCAAGCACACCATTGTTTTTCTTGTGACATTACCAATAAGTGTGATGTGTCACATGGCCCTCTTCCTATTGGAAAAACAAAAGTTGTATCCAAGATGGCCGACTTCTAAATGGCCACCGTGGTCACCACCCATCTTGAGGAGTTTGCCCCCTCACATATACTAATGTGCCACAAACAGGACTTTAATATCACCAACCATTCCCATGTTGTTACGGAGTATCCATAGAAATGGCCCACCCTGTACATCAGAGGAGTCGGTGCTGAGCCTGACTCTGATGTCACTGAGCTCTACATGTGCAGTTTGTAGAGGCTGCTGTGTGGACTGGGATCAAACCTGTGCTGGTGTCCAAATGTGTGAGTAATGGTACGTTCCCTCTGGGGCACAGAGTCGTAGCACACAGAGCGCAGATGTAGAAATCAGTGATGTTCTCAGTCAAGCCTTCAGATTTCTCTGATCAGTCTGTAAGGTCACACTCTGGGTCACAGTCTAACAAATCAACCTGTCTGAAAGCTCAATAATGATGACATCATTTTTACTTCTGTGAAGCTGGACTCAGGACGTTTCCTGTTTGTGCTGATAAATGAAAGTCCTCCCAAACTCTGCTGTAACATGTAGTAAAGGTTGTTATTTCTCTGCTCTCACACACGATGTGTCGACATCTCCATCAGGAAAGAGAAGGACATGAGAGCATGACAGCACATTTGTGCTGTAACTGCAGCTTCATGCTGTGTTCACAGGTGCAGCTCCGAAGCCGTTTGTTGGGATCCTGAACATCAGCGAGGACGAGGCGCTGCTGAAGTGTGAGGTCAGAGGAGCTTCTCCAAAGCCTAAAGTAGAGTGGAGGGACAGCGATGGGAACATCCTTCCTGCTGAGGAGCCACAGGTGTCACGCACAGGAGAGCGCTATGACATCACCCTCCTCACCACGGTGACCAGGACAAACAGCAGCCTCTTCCTCTGTGTAGCCACGCAGGAGGAGATGGGCCATGTGACCCGTGATCAGATCGACGTGCGTTACTGTGGTAAGATCTTATTGTGTCGTTGTTTAGACTGTGTTTAATGTTTGTGTGTATCCAGTGTGCTGTGTGTGGCGTCCTGCTACAGTCCTGCATGAACTTTCATGTGTTTCAGAGAAAACGTCTGAGGTGAAGTCCCACTGTGGAGTCGGTGTGCTCATAGGTTTGTGGTTTTCTGCAGTTCTGACTGTCGCTGCAACTCTGGCTCTATCTGTAGCTGCACAGTGCATCAGAAAACACAAGAAAGGTGAGTTAGAATAATGGATTTATTATTTATGATTTATTTCATATACCTGTAAGGTTAGACAGCCATATAACAGATGATTTGATCAGTGTCGAGTTCACATTCCTGACATTTTATGTTTGAATTTTCTGCTTTAAACAGGAAAATAAAAACTCATAATTATTAATAATTAATAATCCTGGTGTACACACTAAGTCAGAGTGTGCACAGCAGGATTATTCTGATAGTTTCAGGCACGTTCATGTCAACATGGAGCTGTTCATCTTCACATGATGCCACCAAACTTTATCAGTTAATATTCAAGGTTCTGAGCATTAAATCATCATTTTATTCTGACTACATGTTTTTGTACCACAGTTACCACAAACTGCTGCTTCTCTCCATCTGTGAGTAAAGCAGAGACATGATGTTATAATCTCATCCTTCATGTTCTCACTTTCTCTGCTTTTGCAGCTTCTCAGAGAAACCAGAGAGACGATCCTTCTAAGGAAGCTTGTAACGGTGACGCTTCACTCACAAACTGTTTAACGTCACAGCTGTAGTGTGTTTGTGTGGCGGGGGGGTCACCATTACTTTTTTAATATTTTGTTTTTTCATCCCTTTTATTATTATTTTTTTTTAAATCCGTCTCGTTGTGTCTCCATGTTTCACACTGCAGTCTGTGATGAGTCAAGGAGATCATATTGATTATGTCAACTGTAAGTGTTTCACTCCAAAACCTGCTGCAGGTGCTGGTGATCCTGCAGAAACTGGTTCTACTTTTTAGATGTCAGATGGTAAAAAGCTGCTTTGACTTCTTCAAATATCACTCAGCTTCACGTTGTTGTCACAACAAACCAAAGTTTCCTGCAAACCTTTGACTGTATTTAAACTTGATGAGATTGACTTTTTCTTTTGTCTTCCTGTCGAGTCGACTTGTTGGAGGAACGTCTGTCTGTATTGGAGGTGTTCACATCTGTTTTTAACATTTCTCAGGTTGAAATCTGTTTTTACTCAGAGTCATCAGCAGCTGTGCCTTTCACAGTGATGAAGTTTGTGCTGTTAAAACTGGTATTGATGTATTTAAGAATCAAGCTGCTTTCAAAATGATGGATATTTGTGTATTTTATGGTTTTATTAAGCATTTTGACACAGATTTTATAAAATTTGCATCACACTTTTTAAAGTATTCTAAATAAACACTTTTAACTTTAAACTCTGGCATCTTTTTCTGGCTCAGCACCGGGAAGCTTTATTATCACCGTCCATAAATATAGAAATCATTTTACATTCGTAAATTAATTTCTAATAAAAAAAATAAAGATTTTAAATGTCTTTTTAAAAAAAATCTTGTTTAATAAAGAAGTGGAAAGTAGTCGTCTCATATGGAAAAACCATGTGAACAACTAAGCTACAGTTAGGTCCAAGAGTTCTGGGACTACTTTTTTGGTAACCTTGCCTCTATTGTTGGACCTGTCAGCAGCTTTTGTCACGGTCGACCACGACATCCTGTTATCACAGCTTGAATTTCATGCTGGCCTAAAAGGATCTGCCCTCCAGTGGTTTCAGTCCTATTTGTCAGGAAGGTCTTTTCACATCAATATGGGCCCCCATAACTCCAAAATAGCCCCTCTTAAACACGGTGTACCTCAAGGCTCTGTTTTGGGTCCTGCCCCGTTCAATACACTTTTTCAATTTGTGTGAAAATTCCTGTCCCCCTTGAAGGGAAAGTCTATCTCTGGAAATTCTGCTTTAAAGACTGAATGCTAAATGTGAGTGATCAGTTTTATGTATTATACTCATACTGTATTCTTATTAATAAACTGATGGCAGCCTTGCAGTGTTGCAGCCTCGAATAGACGAGCTTGTCGTCATCATCAGAGTGCGAACACAAAATCTTTACAGCCAAAGTATGTCACAGTTTGTTTTAGCTGGATGTGATGCATGTTCTAGCAAACAAATTGAAGAGTCTGGATTCTAAATATACACAGTATGTGAAGGTGCCTTTTTTATTATTATTTACAGATAACAACAAGAGGCGACACAGAATTCCTAAAGTCATCTTAGGCTACGTCCACACGTACACGGGTATTTTTGAAAACAGATTTTCCATTTTTGTTTTTAAAAAAAATCCCGTCCACACGTAAACGCAAAATTGAAGGAAAAATGTAAATGCAAGAGACCGAGTACGCAGCATGTGTCGTACCTGACTGTTGATCCAGGGTCTGGTTGGGTAAAGACTGCAGCAGTGCAGGAGGTGGGTTATTGGTCTTTAATAAATTCCCACAGAAGAGTTGTTTGCATCAAAGTGCAGGCGGTGCAGCCATAACTGAACTTGTCGTTTACGTGTCACAGATAACTATGATCACAATACAGTAACTCCATCTTCTCCACACAACAATATCTCACAATGTCCACAAGGGGTCCCTGTAGACCATAGATAAGCTTTTTAACACGTGTCTTACAAGTTGCTCATATTAAGGCACAAATACGGTAAAACTAGCAGCAGTTAAGCTAAACAGTCGAACAGTCCTTTAACTAATACAGCTGGATGTTATTATTGTGGGGATTATGGCCGCTGCTATTAACTTAGTGCTAAATATCTTAGCAACATAGTATCAAAGTACTGAGACATATAATCTTAACATGCACGAACAATTAGAACCAGAATCATTACAATTAACCTGACAAAGAAATAACAACTCAATCACACCATGAACTGAAATATGTGAAGTCCAGAAACGACTGACTGGATGTATGATTATAAAAACAGCTGTAGTACACACATACTTCCTGCTCTTCTGTTCTGGATAGTCTTGAGGGACCTGAGAAGACACTAATTATGTGTTTTGGACCTCTGACATTTAACAAGAGGATTTTTGTCTGATTCTTAATTATATCTGGATTAATTTGAGTTGCTCCAGTTTCTGAAACGTGTTGATGTTTATTTAATTCATTTGCTGCACATAATTAACGTACTTGCTGCATACAATTCTACTACTGCACATAATGTCCCCCATGTATATATTCTTAATGTACATAATGTTCTTCTCTCCCTCTTTTGCACAGTCGAGGAGCGTGTCAGGATACATTTCACTGCGTGTTGTACTTGTATGACTATGCATGCAACAAATAAAGAGTTTTGAGTCTTGAATTTTGAGGGAATCTTTGAGTCGTGGCCTGCCAATATGGTGCTGCGCTCCCACAATGCATTGCGGCGTTACGTCAACTCCAAAGCCCTATAACGACTCTAAATCCCAGTAACGATTGACGGGTTCCTGATTTTGGCATAATAACTAGTTACCGTGCTCGTTACCACAATAATAACGTAGTTACTGTAACGCGTTGCCTAACAACACGTTAGTCCCTGCACTGTAAACGAATCAGTGAAAACAAAACGAGGGAAATCATCTGAGTCTGAAGTTTGGGCTGCAGACACACAAAGAGAACAATTTATTTAAACCTCAGATTTTATTTATTTATTTATTTTTACATTTTTGATCATCATTATTTTTTCTTTGATCAGTCAGTGAAAAACACAGAAATGCCTTCGTCTGAACTGTTTGTAGTTACATTTTTTGACTTTTGGGAGTTAAAAAAGAAGTGTTATACCTCAGAGATAAACGTACCCATACACACACACACGGTTACAACTTAGGCTTGAAAGATTCACGGGTCAGTCATACGTGGCTTAAGTAAACGGTCAGGTGTAAGGACAGAAAATGTCTTCTTTTAAAGACTTTAGAAAGAAGAATACAAGTCATAGACATACACATATAAGTCAAGACTTGCTCAGCAAAAGTACAACTTCCTCATTAGGAAGGATGTTTCCATCACTGTCCTGCTACTCTACTTCAGGTTTCTGTACAGCAGCAAATAATCTTTAAATCAGAAGGAAAGATTTTATTCTGGATTTTATACAAAATTTCAAATCTGCACATAGAGAAATAAGAGAATGAATAAAAGATGAAGGCCATATTTGTCTTAATTAAATGAAACAGCACGAGAGTCTGCTGTGTAATGATGGTTAACATTATCTGACTGCAGATATAAGACGTAGCATTCATAAGGTAATGACAGTGTGAGAGCACAAACATTAAAGTGCAGAGCAAAGCTGGACGTTACTGCAGCTTAGTGTTCATTTCCCAGTCACAACAGCCATGATCATGTTTCATGTGTCATGAGCATCATGGGAGTCACTGCTTCATGTGACAATAAAAAAACAGTCATTTCATCATGAGCCATAATTTTAAAATAAATATAAAACAGCAGCATTTCCTTCACGCTGACTCAATATGAGACAAGAGTAAAAGTAAAGATTTCATTTCACTGACGCATGAATCTGTTGTCCTGAACTTAGAGTCAGTAACTTTCTTCTGAGTGTCTGATGTGGCAGCTCCGTGTCACCGTTACAAGGATCCTTAGAAGGATCATCACTCTGGTTTCTCCAAGAATCTGCAAACAAGAGATCAAAGTAAATATTACACAAAAGCAACTTTTACATCAACACATACATGTGATAAATGGAGCTCCCAAAAAGATGA